TTAAAATTGTTAACTTCAAGAAGTTTGATAAAAGTTGTTTGAAGTTTCATGACGGAAGAAGTCAGGTCTCACTGCTGTTTTTTCAGGTTTGTGAAACTAGATTGTGTTTGAGACAAGCAGGGCTTGCCAGATGGTAGTTGTAAGTTATTTTTATAGAAATTTGGAACACGTTAATTTGTGTTTAGAGTTGACGATTAGCTTCTGATTATATAAGTTTTTATACATTGGGTTCTTGGTATTAATCCAGTTCAGATTTTGCTGGTTTATTTATTCGTTTCCATACTTTTCATTTCCCCCTTTGTTTGTTAGAAACACTGGCAGTGTCTTGAGTCAGGTAGCAGAATGGAATGAGGAGAAAGAGGTACGTTCCAACAGTTGAACTGTTCACAGGTCTTTCCCTTGGTATAACATTGCTTTTTATGGGCATCATTCAGCCAGCGGGCTAGGCCTCTAAGATCTGAAAGGAAAGGATGGGTGGGTTATGGTAAAATATGAGGCCTCAGCAAGAATGGAAGGAAAGAATCGTAGCCTTGTCCACAGAAATAGCAAAAATATTAGTATGTTCCTAAGAACTTAAAGAATATAACTCTGTTATATTTTGGATTTTCTCTTTAGTATTAATAAGGTGAAAAGCACATTATAGTACTAAATAGCATTTAACAAGGTCACATTATAAACCCAAGCACATTTTTTAAGGTCTTACTCTGGGATTATTTTTTTTTTTCATTTTTTAAAATAGTCCACACTATCATTTGGGGAAAAAAAAAAAAATCCTGGCCAATTACTGTCATAGATTTTAGCTCCATAGCTAATTAGGGCCTCCCAGAACTGAGTATATGGATCCAAATGAAGTGAGCCAGCCAGTGGGAACTATAGCTCGCCTGAAGCAAGGTTAGGTGGAGGAACTCATTTCATTTAATGGGACTTGATTTGTTTGGTTTTCTTTCTTGTTTGTTTGTTTTTTTTGTAGCTGATTTTACCTGTGAGATGGCATTTATGAAAGATGGGTGGGTCCCTTTGAGATTCCTTATTTACCCACATAAGGATCCTATATTTCCTTCACTAGAATTGATAGATGTCCCTCCCCACAATGAACAAGAAGTTTTCTCTTCTGCACCCATAGGCAACTCTATCCCTGGTGATATAGAAGTCACTTTGCTTGTCAAATCCGGCACCCACTGGAACTAGAGTAATGCCACCTCAAGCAGCCAGGCCCTGGGGTGCAATCGCTGTCATCTGGCCCAGAGTGAGCTGTTTCCTGGGTCCTTGGGATCAGCTGGTGTCATGCCCCTGATGACCAGATCTCACGGTGGTGTCAGCTTTCTGACCACACTGCTTAGACTCTGGCTAGAAAATTTTTCTGGCTTTGGCATCCTTGATTTTTTAATCTGAACAATCAAGAGAAAAACATCATAGAAAAGCAGAATTCATAGACGATTACTCCAAAAGAATCATGCAGCTGTGTGTGAGATGACAACTCTACATAAGCAAGTTGAAATACCCAAGGTAGAATTTTTCAACAAGGTTCTTCTTACTTCTGTTGTGTTTTGCTGTATTGTTTGTGTGTTTTGAATGCAGCCTGCAAATATCAGAAAGATTTTCAAAATGCTAACCCATTGATTGTGTAGGGCAGGAAATGATCAGATCGTTCTGCTGATTAGTCTGTGGGGAAAGGTGTTATTACTATTGGCAGACACTTCTCCAGGGTTCTCTCAAGTTTCTGCACAACTTGTGAGGGAGCACTAACTACCCTTTTATCCTGGATAATCTTTTCAAGGGAATTGTATAGCAAACGACCTGGAAAATAATGATAGTATCTCTCTCTAGAGTAAAAGGTGGACCTGCTTATTGTTCAGTATAATAAAGACAGTGTCTCCCTTTAGGACAAAGGGGAAGTTAGCTTACAGAGCCTTATAAAAGACCTGGGTTCCCTAAGCTCAGGGTCCTCAGCTGTGATGCAGAAACCCCCCAGCTAGCTTGGCCTGGCCATTTCATCTCCTGGGAGTTGGGATGCAGAGAAACTGACATATCATGATGTCCATACTTCATTCTGCCTGGGCTCTGAGCCATGCAGTTTTTTTGTCTCATGTCTTCTGCCAGCATCCCTGAGACGGTGGCAGGCTAAGCTGTTAGCTTGCAAGCTGGGCAAAATCTCGGACCCTCCACCAGTTTTGCTGCTCTAGCACCAGAAAAGAACCTCCTTTCATAAAAACTGGTGGAGAAGGCCCAGAAATTCACTGATGACTGATACATATTTAATATACAGAGTTGATAATTTGTATTTTAATTCTATCACGCCATGTGAATTACTGGAATTTTCCAAACATTTGTAACTTATTATACCATTGTTTGTAAAATCCTTACCTCCATTAAAAAGGATTTTGGCTTTTATCTGGCTTTTAGCTGGTGTTAGAGCAGTATGTGATTTGTTAGCTGAATGTCTACCAGTAGCTTTCTGCAAGCTAAGAAAAAATATAAATACTATCTATTTATCTGTATATGAAATACCTTCTCCAGAGTCCAGCCAACTCAGCTATTTTGGAGGAATTACTTTTCGTTATGAGTGAGCATTTTTTTCATATCTGCAAAAAGCAGTCAAAGCTAGCTCTGTGTATTTCACAAGGATCAGTCATGTCCTCTAGACATCTTGTTTTGATAGTCAAGGTTTGCCTTAACTCTTTTTCATAATACCCTTGAGCTGACCTTTGAAGGATGTATATCATTTCAAAAAATTGAGTGAAAAGGGTGGCATTCCATGTTAAAAGAGAAAACAAAAAGAATCAGTATGATTTCCATGCTGCTTCAAGGGAAGCCACGTTGGACTTTACAGACACGCCTGACAGGCTCCCATCAGCTGCACTGCACACCCCACCCATCATAGCAGGACTGTTGGCACACCCTCATCTTCTGGGCTGAGGACTGCAGGCTGGCAGGTTGGCTGCTCTGTCACTTGACCCAGGTAGGATGGGTTCTGGCTAACTAGCAGCTATACCATCTGGAATTGATGAGACACTTGTTCTTAAGAACAGTCTGGGTTCCCAACTCCTGGCTTGAGGACATTTCTCTGCACACTCCAGATTTTTAAGAGTAACATATTTTCCCTGAGACATGACATTATTTTCACATGTGCTAAGCGAGGTCTGCTACAGCCACTGTCTTCCGAAAGAATAAGTAGAGTTTACTCCCCTTACCCCTAATCTTGCTGTAACTCAGTGGTTCTCAAAAGTGTGGTCCGCAGAGCAGCAGTAACAGCATCACCTGGCAACTTGTTGGAAATGCAAATCCTTGGCCCCATGTCAGAACATCTGGGGCGGCTCCCAGCGATGTCTAGTTTAACAAGCCTCCTGGGTGATTCTGATACCCATTGGACTTTGACACCCACAGGTGTGGATCAGTGTGTCTCAGGTCAGAGGAGGAGGAGGTTAGTTTGGTTACAAGCAGGGAAAGGACACATTAAGAGCGGTGGTGTCAGATGTATAAGGAAACACTGGTAGCATTTATTAAGTAAATCTATTGATTTTTTTTTTTATTTAAGAAAATATATCTAATGCTTGTCCTGTATACTGTTAGGATACAAATGTGAATAAGACATTCCACAAATATCTCAGGGTTGGACAGTCTATGCCTGCAGGCAAAATCCAATTTGCCACATGTTTTTGTAAATAAAGTTTTATTAGGACACAGCCACATCCATTCATTTGCATATGGTCCATGGCTGCTTTTAGACAATAATGCAGAGTCGAGCAGTGCAACAAAGACCATATGGCCCGCCAAGCTGAAGACATTTAATATATGGTGCTTTAATAAAAGTTTGCTGACACCAGATCTAGTGTTTAAAGGGAAAGTACTTTCTATATCCCAGTAGTTATACACAAATGGAGCTGAGGATTAAGTGTATATGCAAGGGTTCTTCTGTCCTCCAGTGTTACATTTGTACAGAAGTTTTGCAGTGGCACACAATTTAGCTTCATGGATGTTATTACCATGGAAGCTGTACAGACTGTTTGACAAGAAGCAGAATACTTACCTGTCAAACACTTTGGTGTGTGAGAGGGAAAAGGGGTATGTGAAAAATACAGAAATAACAGAAGATGAAAATAAGAAAAACAAAAAATATTTTGTTTGAGAAGGGAGAATATTATCAGTCAAAAGATGTATCTTGGGAATTCCCTGGCGGTCAGAGGTTAGGACTTCACAGTCTCACTGCCTAGGGCCAGGGTTCAGTCCCTGCTTGGGGAACTATGATCCCACAAGCTAAGATAAAGGAGTGTGTGGCAGGACAGGGCTGGGAAATGAACTAAGAAGGAAAGAGGTGCGGGTTTAGAACATTCCTAGCTGCCTGTCAGGGGGTGGGCAGGTGAGACTCCCAGGGAATCCTGGGATGCCAAAGGGGGCAGAATGAGGGGAGAGGTACACTCTGCTCCTCCATAAGTCTGCAATATTTGCATGCTTATCAGTAGTTGAGATTGCTAGATTTCTTAGCCTGCACTATATTCTTGCTGCTAACTGACCAACTGTGCAGTGATCCTGTAGAAAAATCACTGAGGTTCCCTTTAAGAAGCCTGGGTTACTTCCTGGATTCACCTCTGACTGTCTGACTTTGGGCAAATCATTTCGTGGCTCAGGGTCTCCTCTTCCTCATTTTCGAGATGCTATTTCAGGCTTCCTCCTGCATCCACACTGTGCTATTTTACCAGACTCACTTCTCACCGAGAGGTGCACTAGGGGCACACACAGAGTGTTCCCCCAGCAACCTGGCTGAAAGAGAAAAAGAAGAAAAGACTAGCAGACAACTGGACCCTTCTAAAAAGAGGACTTGTTGAATAGTTTGGCACAAGGGCATTAGTTTCCCTCAAAAGACTTGATGTTGATTTATTTCAGACTCACACCTAATGATAGATCTCTTCTCTTCCTGAAGAGATTCTTTACTGTGAAAATGTTTAGAGGGGGAAATGGCCAGCCGGATTCCATATCAGTGATCGTATTTCTCATTCTCTCAGGAATTTTTCTTTAAATGTGGAGCACACCCGACCTCTGACAAGGAAACGTCAGTAGCTTTGAACCTGATCACAACAAATAGTCGAGACATCACCTGCATAACGTGTATGGACATCAGGTAAGGATCTGAAAACACTGTTGCTCTCAACATCTGGCTTTCTCAACTTCTCTGAAAACAATAGGTAATTAAAGTCACTTTTTAATTTTTCAAAGGAGAAATCGGAAACATTTTTCTATAAGTCAGAATGCAGCCCACCAGCCAGTTATTTTAGAACCTTCCATTAAAGTTGATAAAGATGGCATTAAAATATGTAGTGTTGATCATATTATCTTACTAGGAGCATTGCCTCTGTGTTTCCTGCTGTTGAGCTGTGACCTTTATATTAATAACTCACAACATCTTTCTAAGGAAATGAACCACCTCCCAGATACACAAGGAGACAATTGCTGGAAAAATAATATTGTCTCCTGCAAGAAAAATTTTCCTGTCATTATTTTTTGAGGATTTTATAAATAAAAGCTACTGTATTCATACACAGCTACTATACATACACAGTTAGATTTAAGTGTGTATGTATAACTAACCACTTGATTGAATAAGGCCCCTTCTCATATCAGGCAGCAGAGGAATGCCCTCTCTGTAGGTTAGAGAAAATGACTGTTTTTCCTTATGTTGACAGATTCATGCATAGGGATGTCATTAAAGCCCGCATGAGGACACCCCAATATTCTGCATTTGTATTTTGCTGATTGTTGTGTTTTTTTCTTGTTAATGCTTTATTTTTTATTTTAGAAATAACTAACAAAGTGTTAGAAATTCTATTCTCATGGTTAATAAGATTTTGGTTTAATTCTTTCCAGTATCTTGAGTATGCCTGAACATTTGCATGTCTGTATGGTGCGTGTGTGTGTGTGTATGTACATATATGTGTGTGTGTGTGTGTGTGTGTGTGTGTGTGCTGTATGTAATTGTATATAGAGTTTTGTATGTGGCTTTTTCCATTTAACATGGTAGCATGATAAGATTTCCCTGTCATGGAATATTACATGAAAACACATTTTTATAGGTACCTAAGATGCCATCATATGGGAATATTTTACTTTATTTAGTCATTTCCCTATTACTTAGTAACACTGAACTCCATATCCTTTTCCAGAAATTATTGCATGCTTTGAATCTAAGAACACAGGCAAAGGAATTGGAACAGGAGGGCAGTGGAATGGACATGTTTAAAGTTTTTGGTGCATGTTACCAAATTTATTTCCAGAGAAAGGTTGCACCATTTTAGATTGTAAGTGTCCATGTTTATTTTATTTATTTTCATATGTGTACCAATCATACATCATTAGTCAAATTAGACATAATTAACCACATAATAGATTAAAACCAGAGGATAGTGTTAATTTACCTGTAAATATTTTTTCTGTATACTCCTTATCATACTAGTGCAAGGTAAAAATTTTAAAGAAATTATTTTTCGAGCAGTTTTAGGTTTATAACAGAATTGAAAAGAAGGTACAGAGATTTCATATATACTTCCTGTCCCCACGCATGCATAGCTTCCCCCATTATCAACATCCTCACCAGAATGGTACATTTTTTACCGAGGTTGAACCTGTACTGACATATCATAATCACCCAAAGTCCATGGTTTACCTTGTGGTTCACTCCCAGTGCTGTATATTCTATGAATTTGGACAAATATATAATGACATGTCAGTGATTCTGTTATCATATAGAGTATTTCATTGCCCTAAAATTTTTGTTCCCTACCTTCCATCTCTGTCGACCACCAAACTTCTTTTTTTTTTTTTTTTCTTGCGTTATGCGGGCCTCTCACTGTCGTGGCCTCTCCCATTTGCGGAGCACAGGCTCCGGACGCGCAGGCTCAGTGGCCATGGCTCACGGGCCCAGCCGCTCCGCGGCATGTGGGATCTTCCCGAAACGGGGCACGAACCCGCGTCTCCTGCATCGGCAGGCGGACTCTCAAGCACTGCGCCACCAGGGAAGCCCAACCACCAAACTTCTTATTGCCTTCAACATTTTGCCTTTTCCAGACTGCCATATCGTTGGAATCATACAGTATGTAGTCATCTCAGGTTGGCTTCTTTCACTCAGTGACATGCATTTAAGGTTCCTCCATGTCTTCATAGCTTCACAGCTCATTTCTTTTTAGCACTGACAGTATTCTGTTGTCTGAATGTCAGTTAATCATCCATTTACCTACTGAAGGGTGTCATGTTGCTTCCAACTGTTGGCAGTTTTGAATAAAACTGCTGTAAACATCCGTGTGCAGGTTTTTGTGTGGACATAAGTTTCCCACCTCCTTTGGGTAAATACCGAAGAAGGTGATTGCTGGATCATATGGTAAGAGTTTTGTAAGAAACCATCAAAATGTCTTTCAAAGTGGCTGTACCATTTTCCTTTTCCACCAGTAACACATGACAGTTCCTGTTGCTCCACACCCTATCCAGCATTTGGTGTTGTCAGTGTTCTGGATTTTGGCCATTCTAATAACTGTGTAGTGATATTTCATTGTTGCTTTAACTTGCACTTTCCTGATGACTTACGATGTGGAACATCTTTTTATACGCTTATTTGCTATCTGTATGTCTTCTTTGGTGAGGTGTCTGTTATGGCCTTTGGCCCATTTTTTAATTAGACTGTTTGTTTTCTTTTTGTTGTGTTGTAAGTGTTTTGGGTATATTTTGGATAAGTCCTTTATGAGATGTGTGTTTTGCAAATGTTTTCTCTCAGTCAGTGGCTTGTCTTCTCATAATCTTGACATTGTCTTTTGTAGAGCAAAAGTTCTGAATTTTAACGAAGTCCAGCTTATCAATTATTTCTTCTATCTATGCCTTGTGGCTGTGGTGTTGTATCTAAAAAGTTGTGCCATGACCAAGGTCATCTAGGTTTTCTCCTATGTTATCTTCTAATAGTCTTATGGTTTTGTGTTTTATATGTAGGTCTGTGATCCATTTTGAGTTAATTTTTCTGAAGGGTGTAAGGTCTGTGTACAGACTACATTTTGCATGTACTACATTTTGCATGTAGTTGTCCCATTTTTCCAGCATTGTTTGTTGGAAAGAATATCTTTGCTCCATTGTATTGCCTTTGCTCTTTTGTCAAAGATCAGGGTCTGTTTCTCGGCGCTCTATTCTGTTCCACTGATCTCTATGTCTATTCTTTCACCAACACTACACTGTCTTGATTACTGTAGCTTCATAGTAAGTCTTGATGTCAGGTAATGTCAGTCCAGCTTTGTTTTTTCATTCAGTGTTGTGTTGACTATTTTGGGTCTTTTCCTCTCCAGTTAAACTTTAAAATCAGTTTGTTGATATCCATAAAATAATGCTGGGATTTTGATTGGAATTTCATTGCATGTATACATTGATTTGGGAGGAACCCACAACCTGATAATATTGAGTCTTCCTACCCACAAACATGGAATACCTCCATTTATTTAGTTCTTTGATTTCATCAATGAGAGTTTTGTAGTTTTCTTCGTACAAGTCTTATTTCATATTTTGTCAGACTTATACCTAAGTACTTCAAATTTCAGGTGCCAGTGTAAATGGTATTGTGTTTTTATTTCAAATTGCACATATTCATTCTTGGTATATAGGAAGGCAATTGGCTTTTGCATATTAACCTTGTACCTTGCAACCTTTCTATAAGTGCTTATTATTTCCAGGATTTTTTTGTCGATTCTTTTGTATTTTCTGCATAGATGATCATGTCATCTGTGAACAGTTTTTTGTCTTCCTTTCCAATGTGTATACCTTTACTTCCTTTTCTTGCCTTATTTCATTAGCTAGGACTTACAGTATGATTTCGAAAGGAATAGTGAGAGAGCACATCCTTGTCTTGTACCTGATCTTAGTGGGAAAGTTCAAGTTTCTTACATTAAGTATGATATTAGTTGTAGATATTTTGTTGTTAGAGTTTATCAAGTTTGTGGAGTCCCCCTCTTAGTCCTACTTTACTGAAAGTGTTTATCATGAATGCATGTTAGACTTTGTCAGATTTTTTCTGCATCTATTGATATTATCATGTGATTTTTCTTTTTAGTCTATTGATGTAATGGATTACATTAATTCATTTTTCAATGTTGAATCTGCCTTGTGAACTCTAGGATAAATCGCACTTGGCCATTGTGTATAATACTTTTTATAGATTTTTAGATTTGATTTGCTATATTTTGTTGAGGATTTTTCTTCTATGTTCATGAGAGATATTTGTCTGTAGTTTTCTTGTATTGCCTTTGTCTGGTTTTGATATTTAGGTAATGCTGGCCTCCTAGAATGAATTAGGAAGCATTTATCCTGCTTCTATTCTCTGAAATAGTTTGTAGAGAATTGGTAACAAGGTACGAATTTTACTTATTTTTGTGCTTACAAACATGTACTTTTGTATAAAAAGAGACTGGCATTTTTCATGTACCTTCTTAATAATAATTCTCTCTTTTTATGATTCTTTACAAGTGTATAATAACATATTCAAGGAACTCCAATGCCATTAAGCTAATTTTTTGACGTAGCAATGTAACAATCTCTTAAGCCTTCAGTTTCCTTATAAAATCCAAGAATTGAAGTAGGTAATCTGTAAGGCTCTGACTGGTTCTGAAGAACTGCAAAAGGTAGAAACAGTCCTTGTTCACAACCTATAAATCAATAGTATCATTTGAGAAAGCACTTGTTTGTGGTCCTGTCTTGTGACAGATGCGGAAATAAAAAATGAGGTTTTCAATGATACTGCCCTCCAAATGACACATATGTGGTTGTAATATGTAGAAAAATGTATAAGATAAATGTGCTATTCATTTCCAGATGTTAGGCTTAAATTTTAATTCAGGTACGTGATTTGTGTCTTTTGAGTTTATATTGTATATAAAATATTTTCCTGTCTCTTAAAGAAAAAAGCGAACTATTTGAGGGCTAAAACGTCCTGAGCTTTTGTGTAAGCCATCAGGTTCCCGTCTGCCATCCAGCCTTGCAGTCCCCACTCCTTGTTTACAGTAGTGGCTTGCTCTTCATCCAACTGAGGTTATCAGTTGATAGTCTTAGGTTTATGAGTAAATAGTGAATTGAGCCAGAAGCAAAAACTTGAGCCAAAAC